CTAAAAGCCGCTGCACCCCAGATGGGACGTCATGCCCTTCAGCTGCTGACCAGAGCGTTTTACCAATGCAATTTAGTTGACTGACCAGTCGCTTCACTGAACGGGCTCAGCAGTTGCAGCATTACGGGCAAGAGATTACGTCATCGCGCCTTCCCATTGTGCCCTCCGGTAATCCGTCCCGACTACCAATATAAAAATTGCACTAGTGAAACATCCGGCAAGTGAACACATTTTCCACGCACATCCATGGACTTCATAAAGCGTTGGAAAGTACCAATTTCGATACGTGGTCATTTCCACCCGTCTGTTGACCGCTGCCAGGTGTTGCTGCAAGGTTCCGTATGCCGCAATGGTGCATCTACAACATTTTTGTTCCGACGCCTCACAGAGCGCCCCACGGAGGGGGTACCAAGGAATCACGTACAGCCCGGCCACAATACTCTTCTCACGCGCCGAGCGCTTTAACAAAACACTACAATTCTACGATCTACACACCGAACAATGAAACTCGACATTCTGGATGCGTTTCTCACTCATGACCCCGAATGACTTCTACGAAAAAATGAATCAAACTACTGAATTATCTCTTTGGAGCAGCATCACAAATAAATCACTTGGACAGAGAACATGACACTTATGAATGGCGCAAGCATTGGGTGATTGGCCTGCAGTGCCGTGATTAGCTGTGTTGATTGTGTTATTCACAGTGCGTGGTGCTAATGATGTCTTCTGCACGGCTTAAGAATTGTTTGTTGTTGCCAAGCCAAAACGGCAGTGAGTGCTGCTCAGTGAAAACTTTATTGTTGGTTTGCATGCTCGTGTTTTATGCTCTGATTTAAAGTGTCTAAGGTGCCGACAGGAAATGAAGAGCCAGGTGCACAGAAGAGCCAGTCAGCAGTCATATACCGTGCGAGTTATTCGAACTTCGCATGTCTGTCGTCATAAAAGTATATACATATATATATATATATATATATATATATATATATATGCGTGTGTGTATGTATGTATGTTTGTATGTATGTATGCTCGTATGTATGTATGTATACATCATCATTAAACGCTCTGTGCAATTCGGGCAAAACACCGACCAAAACTAACACAACACGATATCGGGGTGATCAGAAGCAGTAAACTTTACGGTAACTAAATATTCACGCATGTAGGCTGCGTAAATGAAGGAAAACTGAAGAAGGTCTCCTACTTTGCGAGTTCCCTAGAGTGTAGGTTTCTATCCACCAAAAATCCTCGTATTCCGGCCATTGAGTTTTAAAATTCATATGCATGCAGTTTGCATGCGGGAGCCTAGCTCGTTGCACGCTGCCCTAGAAAACTAGGCGTGCTTCGTACCCAAATACATGGAGCTTGTTCATTTTCGTCAGAACATGGTGAATCCTGTCATTTTAAGGCCAAACATTTCGAAGAAAACATAGCAACACATACTTAAATTGGCTGCTAAATATCATACAAATCAAGCACAATCTTGATTTCTAGCTTATACGCGGCTAGCCGGGTAGCTGATGAAATCAGCTGATGGCTGCAGAGTAATACAGAGTTTTTGCTTTATCTGTTGCGAGGGAATACATAATATCTTCATCCTTCAAAATCTATTAAAACGTAACGTATAAGTACAAAAATCGTCACAAATTCCATAAACAACGGAAATAAGGTGCACGACGTGGGCGGCGCGTAAAATTATGTTCGACAATAACAAGAACGAATTCATCGGCTAATCGGCACAGCCGCAAATTCCGTCATCGGTCGGTAAGAAGCATATACAAATTAAATGAAATAAAAATGATTAAGTTATAGGTCCCCCTCAACGACGTAGGCCCTCCTATAATATGGAAAAACCCGAGACCAGTAAGGACGGCACCTGAGCAATCGAAACTGCTGTGGCAGGCCAATAAAGATGCTCCAGTTAACAGTGGAGGGTCTTCATAACAAACGAGAAGAACCTTACACCAATATGGTGGGACCCCTGAACGAGCGGGGGCACCCCGGCAGGCCAACACATATAACCCGGCCGGAGGACAGGATCCCCTGAACAAAGCGCAATAACCGAAGATCAGTGTATATGAATTAACACCCCTGTGTAATCAAGAGTGCCCGGGCAGGTCAACAGAGAGTGCTCTGACAAGTCAAGGGTCCTCAGAAAATAGGCTTAAAAAGGGAAAGAGCCATAGGTCAATGAAGAGGGCCCCTGAGCACCGAGTGCCTTGGAGCGTCACCTTATATGGGGCCTCAGGAATAGCACGGGATACTCCAAGCAAGTGGACAGATCCAGATATGACCCGATACCAACATGAAGGAACATAAAGGGCCAATGAGCAACCGAGTGTACTCCGGCATTTGGGGTCCCGACAGCAGTGGAGGGGCGGGAGAGCCCGCTTATCCCGCAGGCGCAGCGGTCCCCGCCGAGCCCGCGCCGCCCGCCATGCCTCCGACCTCGCCGCGCCCGGCAAGTCTGCGCCCAGTCCGCCAGTGAGCCCCGGGGCGCGGCCGCGCCCAGGCTGGACAGGGCCGCCAGGTGTCTAGGTTATTTATAGTAACCATACTTGACTACGCATCACGTGATCACCAGTGGAGCGCCAGGTTGACAGTGCCATCTGTTGACAAAAGAGGGAAATAGCGGCAGGCCTCAAAGATGCTTCTGTAGTGTTATCTAGCGGCATGAATCTAAACTAGCCTGGTTGCCATGGATACTGGACGTTCTGAACACTGGACTTTATGACTCTGGACTTTGCGACTCTATACTTTGCGTCCCTGGACCCCATGAACGTCCCCAATGGGCACGGAATTGGACGTTTTCTGGACTTTATGAACACTGGACGCTGCGATCCTGGACTTTTTGATGGCTCGCCAAACCCCCCTGCTGTCTTAGGTCAGTTGTTCTAGGAAAAAAGCACAAAGCATGACATTTCTTTGCAAAATATAATAATAAAACAAAGTTATAAAATTTCTCTTCTTACAAATTTGTTTCCTAAAAGACCAAAAGTCTGTTGCAGCACTAATGTCGCGCACAAGTTCGCAGTAGCAGTAATGCCGCGTATAAACATTGGTGGCATAAGTTTCTGCAGTACGCGTAGTGACAGATGAAGGTTTGTGAAGCATAAGTTGTGCTGAGTACCACCAATACCGCATTCAAGTCTTTGAAGTAGAAGTTAAGGTCGTGCACGGTTAATGACTGTCTGTGTTTTTGCGGTAGAAGTAATGAGCGGTATCAATTTTCGAAGCACAAGTTTTGTCGGGTAGCACTAATGTCCAGGATAAGGTCTTGCGGTGAAAGCAATACCACGTCTCACTAATAACTGTAAAAGCGTTTGCAACAGAGGCAATGACAAGCACAGGTTTTTGCAGCATGTGTTTGGTCACGTAGCAATGATTATGCCGCGTATAAGCATTGGCAGAAGTAATGTAACATTCCTGTCGGTCGTTTTTGTTGCAGCACTAATGTCGTGGAGCCCGTGTGCTCTACGTTAGATCCAGGGCGACCAGATAGGGGTCACGGTGAGTGGGCCCGTTCCCTATTAGATCCCATGATCAAGGGCCCAAGTGGGGACCCCGAATGCCCTGCTGGACTGGCTAGACCCATGGCCTCTCGAGCCGAGCGGGGCCTCCTGGGCCGACGAGGGACGGTCGCACCGTTAGATGATCGACCTTAAGTCTGAGAGGCAGGCCTACGTCAGGCAGAGACCACCAAGTACCAAGCAGCCGGCTCGGGGGCTCGCTTCGTTAGCGGAGAAAACGGCGGGCTCTGCCAATGTCGGCAAAAATGACTCTCACAATGATCTTTTAGTAAAAAAGGAGCATGACCCGGATGCGTGTCTGAATCCCAAGGCGAGTCCAAGATCCCATAGGGTTCAATGTAATGGAACTCTGGGAGCGTTTTGAGCGCTCCAAGCACACATCCGCAACACTGCGCCAGCGACTGCGGAGGTTAAGGATTGTTCGGGAGCTATCGCGTACCCGGGATTCGAGTCCGGGCCTCCACGTGAAACCCGGGGGGGGGGGGGGAGGGGGTAACCACTTGGCCACTACCTCCTTTTTACAAGTTGGCGCCCTGAGAAGATCGGTTCCTGTCGTCGACCAGGGAGACAGCGCCTAACGGGCGATCCTGCGTCGGCGAGAGGCCCAAAGCAAATGGCCCCTTTCCTGAACAGGGAGGGCGGTATCAGAAGAGTGTCGCACTCCGCAAGGGCTCCAGAACTGGGGCAGGGGTCTCCTGCCGTTTCGGCTAGGGGTCCGACCGACTCAATTAGGGTCCCTGTGCCGGTTGTTGGACCTCTGCGCCGGCCGGAGAGCACTTTGTGCCAGTGAGGGCCCTCAGTCGCCGTCCCCCCCCCCCCTTCTCGGAGTGGGACACTGGTTGGAGGCAAATGCGGGCCGCCAGCAGCCGCTACTCGGTGGCGGGACACGTGGCGCCCGACAGGAAACGGGCCGGCCGGCGCGCATTGCTCGTCGCCCGCGCGGCGGCGAGCGCCGCACACCGCAGCGTGCCGGTCGGCCGCAATCAGGGCCATCGTCCAGACCCCAACGGCTCACCAGCCCCTTGAGCCACGGCACACACACACACACACACACACACACACGCACACACACATACACGCACGCACGCACGCACGCACACACACACACACACACACATACACACACACACACGCGCGCACGCACGCACACACACACATACACGCACACGCACACACGAACGCGCACGCATACACAGCACACGCGCACACACACACACACACACACGCGCGCACACACACACACACACATACACACACAGATAGGCAAGAGGACGGCGGATCGTGGAGCCGATCTGGTGCCGGCCGCCCCCGGCGCTGACTTCAGGCTGTCAGCTCCGCTCAGCTGGGACCGGCGACCGCGGACCGGGCGGTGCGGGCCAGCCTCTCGCGGGCGCCAGGTCGGCCGCGCTGCTCCCGTCTTCGGCTGACACGCCCGCGCGCGCCGCACCACGGCACACCACCGAGTCCGTCGGAAAAGCATTTTATTAGCTCTAGGGCAGCCCACCGAGAATTCTCCCATCACCAGGGCGGCGGCGCCGGCGGCGGCGGCGGCCGGCGCCGGTGGCTCGCCCCACGGAAGCGACGCGACGCGACGCGAAAGCCCGTCACCCGGGCACCGTCACCGGGGCGAGAGCGCGAAGGGGCGGGCGGCACGACGCGACGGCACCACTGCGGGCTAAGTGATGATGGTAACTTCCTTCTTGACGATCAGTTCCACACTTTCTTCTTCCATGTCGCCCCCGCTCGACTGCAGCGAGTCGGTGTCGACGCCTGGCGGAAGGGAGCGGGGCAGGGTCAGTGGGGCGCTGGTGGCGGGGCAGGCGCGATGAGGCGCTGCACACGACCGAGGGTGAAGGACGAACAGAGGGAGGGACAGGAGGACGCAGTGTGACAGCGCCGACATCACGGGGCAGATGAATCAGGCGGGCGTCAGTGGCGACAGGTATGGGATGAAGGGGGCACACAAGGAGATTGATTGTGGTCATTCCGCCCCTCGGAGAGAACAGGCGGCTACGAGTCGGAGCGTGCGGAAAACACGGCACCCCCAATCAACACACCGATAAAGGACGGACAAATGCGCGAACCTATCATTAATCTAACCGAGCGTATCAATAGCTTACCATAGAATGCGTACAGAACCGCGGCTGGCATGGACTGATCAGCACCAAACAAGCCCCGGATGACTACGTCACAGACTAGTGGTAGCCTAGCAGACGCAATGGACAACCAATGGGTCCCTGGCAGACCGACGATAACCCCACAACCATCAATGACAGCAAACCTAAGCTGAACAGCCCACCACGCCTGCGCAGCCAGTCTTCCTGAGCAGCACACGGACACCGCGCCAGCGGAGCAGCGAGCGCCACAGCCAACGGCGTTAGGGCTGAGCGCCCCTCCCTTCCCGCTCTCTTGCTTACCGCCGCGTAGCTCCAGCCGGCGCGGCTTCTGCTTCTTCCACTCCTCGATGCACTGGGCGCGGTACTCGGTGAACTCCTTCACCAGCTTCTGGCGTCCTTCGATCAGCTCCTGCGGCAGACGGCGACGGGCGGCGGTCAGCCCCGGCCGCCACGGGCTCGGCGGCGCGCTCGGGCGCGGTCGGCGCGGCCCGACCACCGCTGTGCCGCGCGTACTCCGAGGCGCCCCCTCCCCCCCCCCCCTCTCTTCCTCAGCCGGCACCGGATAGAGCGGCGGCGCGGCCTGGCCGGCAGACGACATACGGCACACGGCACGAGGTGAGACGGGACAGTTCGGAGAGCCCCAGCGCGGAGAGGTTCACAGCGTCCCCGCTATGGTTGGAGAGAACGCACTGTCCCAGCAAGTCCCGGCCTGTTCGGAAAATGACGCTTACAAATACAGACCATCCCAGTTGCTGTTGTCAGGAGCCGCGACATTATGCTAATGAGCGCACGCTTGTACGAAAATACAGACGTGTCGCGCTGGCAACGCTGCGTCCCGAAGAAACAAGGCCAGGCAGTCCCCCCCCCCCCCCCTCTCTCTCTCTCTCTCTCTCTCTCTCTCTCTCTCTCTCTCTCTCTCTCGCTCTCTCTCTCTCTCTCTCTCTCTCTCTCTCTCTCTCTCTCTCTCTCTCTCTCTCTCTCGCACTCTCTCTCTCTCTCTCTCTCTCTCTCTCTCTCTCTCGCTCTCTCTCTGCACATACGTACCTTAGACGCGCGGCTAGCGCGCATCTTGTCCTTGATGTCGAACTGAGCGCCATACTTCTGCAGGTTCTTCTTGATGTTCTTGATCTGGCGCTCCGAGAGCAGCGACTTGGGCCGCGGCCGCCACTGCACGTTACACAGCCGGTCCACGTTGTGACGGTGCGTGACGCGGCCCTGGAACGTCCACAGCCAGAAGCCGTTGTCCACCTTGTGGCCCCACCAGGAGACGGCCGTGAAGACGTACCGCCCGGTCGGGTCCCACTCGACGTCCGTGCACATGAAGTGCTCGCCGGAGCCCATCACCGTGAAGTCGCTGCAACGGACGGCGGAGGTTAGGGTGGCGGCCGCGGACGGGCGGCGACCGCGGGCAGACACGCGGCTGACGCCAGCCGCGAGGGCGAAGCGGCGCGAGGCGTCCTGGCCCCGACACGCTGTTGCCACCTTCGTCTCGACTCGCTCGTCGTGAAACACCGGCACCCGCGGTGACGTCACCACACGGCGCCACACCGGGAGCCAACGCCCGCGGCCGGTGACCGCTGCCAGGCCGCAGTTCGTCGCGACAGCGGCCCCGCACGCGCGAGCCCCAATCGGGACCGACGCTCGCCACTGTCGGAGCCCTGGGCAAGGTGTCCCCCGTCGGCGCGGAGATCGCGCACAGCCGGCCGCTCACTTGGTGTCGACGAACTCGAACACGCCGTTCATGTTGAGCAGGCCGGCCAGGATCACGTGCTGCCCGCGCGGCGACCAAACAGGTGGTTGCAAGCCTTCTTCTCCAGCGTCTCTGCCGCACGCGGGGAGGCGGCGTGAACAGATTGCCAGAGAACGGACGGGAAATGCCCTCCAGTACAGACATTACTGCTACGCATCATTTAACCTTTTACACAATATTCTGTCCATCATCACCATCGATATCATTATCAGTCGTCACGTTATAGCTACTTAATTATCACCAGCAGACTGCTCAGGATACAGATAATGCAAAAAGCAAGAACTTTTCCCGTGACTCCAAGCGAATACGCCCGTTAATTCACATCACCCCACTACACTTCCTCCACCCACGCACCTCGCGACAAACACAACACTGAGCAACCACGGAAAAAAACACCACATCACCTCACTACACTTCCTCGACCCACACACTTTGCGACAAACACAACACTGAGCAGCCACGGAAAAAACACCACATCACCTCACTACACTCCCTCCACCCACACGCCTTGCGACAAATACAACACTGTGCAATCACGGAAAAAACCCGCTGTTCGCCATTGTCTAATGGCGGACAGCCTCTGTCTCCCCCGATCCTCGCGCTCACTCAGCAGTGCCGGCTCCGTGCCGCTCTTGACGCAGTAGAAGCAGACGTTGAACGAGTTGCCGACGGCGGTGACGATGGCGAACTTGGAGCCCACCGGCTCCCAGGCGAACGCCATGATCTTGTCCTTGATCTCCATCGAGTCGACCGGCACGTTCTTCTCCCGCAGGTGGAAGATCTCGAAGTTGTAGTGCACGCCCTGGCGGCGCGGTCGAGTGGTGAGAGATCTCGGATTACTCACCGATGCGCTGAACCGGTCGTCAGCGGTGTCACTACCTTTCACACGGGTGGAAGTAAACTTTCCTCCGAGAAATTCGAGCCTAGTATTTTTGTATCCATCCACGGTTAATCTACAGCACCGTCTCGCCAACTTCCACAGCACTCGAGTCAGAAGACGCAAGCTCTGAAGCGGGAACAGAGCCGACGGCATTTTAGCAAAAAATAGTTCCGAGCCGTCGAGTCGCGACAACTGTTCCCTCTGGCTACGCTCATATTCCAAACCCAAGCGCCACTACCAACACCGCCCGCCATAACCGACGCCAACCTCACACGCCACGCCCAACCTGCCCAGGTGACGCACTCGGCCGCGCCTCGCTCGCACCCCTCCCCCTCCCCCGGACAGTGCTGACAGCGCCACACCGCGCCGGCAGCCCGGCCGCGCCGCACGCACCACGTATTTGATGGTGTCGTCCTTCTCCTTCTTGGCGCGGTTGTAGCGGTCCACCTTGACGCACAGGTGCTCGCCCGAGCTCTGCCAGTGCATCTTGAGGTCGATCACGGAGAACAGGTTCTTGGTGCGGATCACCTCGCGACTGCGGAGGCGCGGCAGCGTCACAGGAGGGACGCTCACAGGAGGGACGCTCACAGGAAGGACGGTCACAGGAGGGATGCTCACGGGAGGGACGCTCACAGAAGGGACGCTCACGGGAGGGACGCTCACGGGAGGGACGCTCACAGGAGGGACGCTCACAGGAGGGACGCTCACGGGAGGGACGCTCACGGGAGGGACGCTCACGGGAGGGACGCTCACGGGAGTGACGCGCACCGGCTCACGGGAGGGACGCTCACGGGAGGGACGCTCACGGGAGGGAGGCTCACGGGAGGGACGCTCACGGGAGGGACGCTCACGGGAGGGCCGGAGCCGCACCCCCGGCGACAATGGTCCCACCGGACCGGAGATCAGGCAGCAGCAGCAGCAGGCATGCCCCCCCCCCCCCCCCTCCCCCCGCCGTCGCAATGTCAGGACAGGGCAGAACACGTCACGTCTACAAACCAAAACAGTAAACCGTTATGTAAAAAGCAAACGGCACGGTAACGTATATATGTGCAAAGGACACTTGCGGCCAGACAACGGCTGAAAACTGAAGAAAGTGCGGGAAAATCGCGAACCATTCGCGTGGAGTATTCAATGTCATTCACAGCCCCATCATGAACTGTCCATACTGGTCACGTGACAAGTCGGGTAAGCGAGCCCCGATCGCAGCAGCAGAGCCGGACGCCATGTGCCGAGCCCTTTCCTGACACCCGGCCGAGGGTCCAGGCCGGGTCTCTGATTTGGTGCCGGCGGTCACTGTAGCACACGTGATTCTGACCGGGCCTGGATGTGACCCGGCCAGCAGTATTTGTGTGCACGTGTTGGAACGACGCTGTCAGTCCAGGCGGCTTTACCAATGCAGTCAGCAACCCAGTAAGGGGCCACTACCGTGACTGATGAACTGCCCCAACACCCGCCGCAACACCGAGCAGCTGTCGCCAGGTCAGCCGTGAAGCCGTTCGCTCAGTTTGACCGCCCGAGCCGTCTAGCGGTAACCCGAGAACCACGACGCCCTGTCCGTGCGTGGCGCCGCCCTTGAGAGCCCCGACCGCCCCGGGCACGCCGTCGACGCCGTCCCACCGACCTGGGAATCTTGAGCAGGGTGACCCTGGCCGGCGTCTCTCCGTAGTTCACCTCGCCGACCCAGTAGGAGATGATGGTGTCGGACGGCGACCAGCTGAAGTCGCGCACGCCCGGCACCTCCAGCGACTTCTTGTCCAGCAGGCCGCACGACTGCGGCGGCCGAGAGGGCGGCGTCACGGCGGCACGTCATGGAACGGCAAGGAGTGGGCGCGGGAGACCAGACACGGCCAGACAACACAGAGCGAGGCAGTTCTACCGATGTGAGGAACGGGCGCGGGAGACCAGATACGACCAGACAACACAGAGCGAGGCGGTTCCACAGGTGTGATGAGTGGACGCGGGAGACCGGAAACGGCCAGACAACACAGAGCGAGGCAGTTCCACAGGTGTGATGAATGTCGGCTGCGGTGCCAGTGATCTTCAGGCGCATCGAGAACGACGCCGAGAACGCGGCTTGCCCGACGGCAGTGCGCGCGGCCGGCGGGCCCGGCCGCGTCACCCACCGGCGGCGGCGGCCGCAGCGCGGCCAAAGCTAGCGCCGCGCCCACCACGCTCCCACCCGACCGAGTGTCATGAAGCGCCGGCAACCTCCAACCGTCTCCCAGGCAGACACACCATCACGAGCCCCGGGGCCCAGTAAGGCCTCAGCTGACGCACAGTGACCAGCCCCTCCACCCCGCCCCCGGTCACGCACCGGCGTCTCGTAGATGCTGATGGTCTCGACGGGGCCGTCCTTGCGGTCGACGCGCTGCAGCCGGGCGAAGTACTTGTCGTTGTGGCTCCACCTGAGCGCCGGCCAGACGGTGGCGGAGCGGTCGGCCGAGAACGAGCGCTTCTCCAGGCCGGTGAGCACCTCCCACACGATGATGGCGTGGGCGCCTGGCGGGCCGTGGCTCTCCGCCATCGGCGAGAACGTCACCAGGTACCTGCAGCGGCGCGGCCGGCCGGCCGGTCAGCGGCGGCGAGACTCGAGCCTCGAGACTCCAGACACTGTGATCCGGACACGACGGCGGTGGCTGGGCCGGCGGGTCGGTCGGGCCGACTCGATCAGCGACTTTTGTCGTTGCGAACTCGATCACGTCCCACGGTCGGGCGATGTTTGACCAACACGGATATCTTACACAGGGGGAGCGGTGGCTACCACACGACACCGATCACCACTTGGAGCCCGCTGCCAGGAAGACGCGCACCGCTCACCGCCACGACAGCCACACGGCGCGCGCTGCGGCGGCGTCACTCACTTTTCGCACGGCGAGAAGTCGATGAACTCGACGCCGGGGTGCAGGAAGCGCTTGAACTGGTCGAACTTCTCGCCCACCCACAGCGCCACCCCCCGGGCGTGCAGCGTGGCTAGGTACGTGCCCAGCGGCGACCACTTGAGGTACTTCTCCGTCCATTTCTGAGGCGATGGGGGCGGTCGCGGTCAGGGCGGCCGGCGCCGTCAAGGTGAACGGTGTGACGTCACAGGGTATAACGCTATCATCCAACCACAAGCAATGCTCGAATAGAACGTGATCACAACGAACGTCCACATGGATGCCTCGCATCGCTTATACATGGCGTATATATATATATATATATATATATATATATATATATATATATATATATATATATATATATATATATATATATATATATATATATATATATATATATATATATATATATATATATATATATATACACCCCATAAGCATGGCGTATAAGGACTTCATTCGTCGGTGGTCAGGCAATAACAGGAGCACAGCACCCGCCCCGGTGGCCTGGTCCCATCTGTACCCACAGCAACATGGCCATGTGCCGCGCCCTTTCCTGACACCCGACCGAAGGTCCAGGCCGGGTCTCTGATTTGGTGCCGGCGGTCACTGTAGCACACGTGATTCTGACCGGGCCTGGGGTGTGACCCGGCCAGCAGTATTTGTGTGCAGTGTGAATATTGTGCAAAACTACCAGTCAGACGACGTCTGGTTCCCAACTGCACTTTGCTCCGATTGTATATGGTAACCAGACAAGATAATGCAAATAGTTGCCAGTCGCAGTATTGCAAATGGTAACCAACCGCGACATCGTAAATGGTAACGAGTCACAACACCTCGACGGATACCAACAACAGACTTGCACGGGCAACGTCGATGGTCGCTTGGAAATCGGGACCCAGCCTTCACATAGATGGCGTGCTGCGGCTGGTGCCCGCAGCGCCGCGTGTTGTGAAACCAGAAGCAGCTTTCGCAACATGCGGCCAACCCAAACCGGTGTATCCCGCACCAGCAACCACAGCGACATGACGCCACTTAATGACCGATGACGACAACGGGAGGGCGCGTGGACGACCTGCGACCGGCTGGCCAGTCGACCCGACAGTGCAACGGGAGTGGGAGACGCAGAACAGCCCGACACGGTCAGAGACAGCGTCACAGACACAGGCAGAAACACAGCGTCAGGGGCAGGGTTACAGCAAACGTCAGACGGCGCAATGACATCGTCCGACAGGAGCAGCGGCCGTCACGGCCGACCCGGAGGCGGTGTACCTCGCGAACGATAGCCGGGCAACAGAAGAGTGCCGCACAACGAGGCGGGGGGCACGCACGTGAGACAACGAGAGGTTCCGGCAACGCCATAAGACGAGATAGCGATGGCGCGCCACGGCCGGAGCGGCGCGCGCTCGCGCCACGGCTGGGGCGGCGCGCGCTCGCGCTAGAGGCGGCCTACCTTGCGCTCCTCGATCAGCGTCGGGTCCGGCTGCGAGTTGGAGTAGATGGCGGCCGAAAAGCCCGCCTCCGACAGGATCGAGTACTGGTTGAAGCACTCCGGTTCCTGGCGACGGCCGAGTCAGAATCGGTGAGACGGGCACGGTGCCGCCGCAGGGCTGCCGTTGTACGTGACGTCATGCCACGCAGCGACAGCACGGCAGCCTCGCAGCGAAGCTCCTTTGCACAGCGTGCTCGCCGGGCGGTAACAGTCCCGACCCTGGCCCCTGTCCGAGCGTGGCACGCGCCCGGTTCCTCCGCACACCGCCCTCACCGGGCGGCAACAGTCCCGACCCTGGCCCCTGTCCGAGCGTGGCATGCGCCCCGCTCCTCTGCACACCGCCCTCACCGGGCGGCAACAGTCCCGACCCTGGCCCCTGTCCGAGCGTGGCACGCGCCCGCCTCCTCTGCACACTGTCCGTGCGCAGAGAAGCTCCTCCGCACACCGCCCTCACCGGGCGGCAACAGTCCCGACCCTGGCCCCTGCACTTGCTGCACCCACCTCCAGGAAGTACTGCAGGTTGCCCAGGTCCGGGTAGGGCAGCGGCTCTGGCGGCTGCCAGTCCTCGGGGATGCCCTCGTACCTGGCGGGGAGGGGGAGGGGGGGGGGGGGGGGCGACCGTCAGCAGACCGCGCCCCGCGTCGCCCTCCGGCGAGGCGGCGGAGCGTCGCCCCTCACCGGGGCGGGGCGCCCCGACGCACCGCTGGACGCGGGCTGACCCGTCCACAGCCGGGCCGTGCCGTCACGACGTGCGAAACGGACGGCTTTGTTGAGCCAGAGTAGTTGTCACTGCTATTTTATCATTATGTTTTGTTTTTTTGATTTCCAATAATTATGCTATTGTCACTATTATTGCAGCTACTTTAAAGTAGCCACATTCTATTTGTCCAGTGCACAGGAGAAGTCAAATTGAGGATGTGTCGTACTAATGAGCCAATTATTTGTTGCTTAAAAAAGCATCGGGAATCACCCCGTCTAGTAAGTGCAGAATTGCATTCACATTGAAATGCACAAGCAGGACACCTGGCATACAGCATGTTGAGAAGCTACAACGCAGCCATTGCAGCGACTGACTCACTTCTCGAAGTCGGTGAAGAGATTGACGACGAATGTGTGAGCCTTGTCCAGCTTGTGACCATTGGTAGCCTGCACCGCCTCAGCCGCCTGCTCTGGCCGCTTGTACTCGAAGAAGACGTACCTGGGACAGAAAGCGCACAGTGAACAGCCGTTGCTCACTGCAGGCAATTGAGAAGCATTGCCTGAAATGGCTTACCCAGATTAACTGAGACACAACATGGAGACAATGGAGAGAATCTGGCTGCCAGGGCATGCAAATATCTGCAATGCAATAGTGTTGGTGTTGCGACGTTCTCCACAACCACGACAAGCTTCAGAATTTTGCACGCCACAAAGAAAGGCCATTCAACTGCGGTGACATCACTTAATTCAAGAGCATGATTGACATTACACCCTCTATATCATAACATGTTTTGCACATATTCATAAGGAGACCAGATCTCGTACAGGGGTGGCTCCACATGTGTAAGGGCAAGCAAACTCACCCCTTTGTCTTGTTGTCCGAGTCGATGGGCCAGAACTCGTTGGTGATGGTGCCGTAGTTGGTGTATATTTTCCTGACGATGTTCTGGAGCTTTTCTAGCCGAGTTTTCTCATCCGAGCCCGCTCTGTTCGAAAATAAATGTCAAAGTAGGTGGGCAAGGCACACACAGATGCACGAAGATCACATGCTTCAGAAGTGGTGAGACTTACATGCCAGTAGAAATGCCAGGATCACTTACAAAAATTATCCGTTATGTGCCGGTAGAAATGCTAGGATAACTTACAAAAACTTTCTGGGGAAATACTGTCCTTTCAAATACAACTACAGGCAAAACTACTACAACCTTTCCATAATAAACGCCTGGTTCTGACACCACATGCTCCATCTTGCACAACACACCAATGAGAAACATGGACGTGAGCAATGTTGCAATACCCTTCAACAGATCTGACTTCCTTACTTTTTCTCCTCTTTGGCCACCCGTGGAATTCCATCCACCACAATGATGGAGTCAAATCCCCCTGTCTCCTTCGGCTTGAGATGGAGCACATCTCCCAGAAGTTCTGAAGACAAAGAACACAGATGATAGCTATAAAACTATCAACAGCTTAAAACTATAAAGCTATCTATTGGATGCCCATGAAAGTACTCATTCCTCCACACATGGAATGCGCGTCACTGGGGCTTCGCGACGCACTCGGCTCACGAGGCTACATGATGCCGCTTGCCCCTCACTCTGGCAGGAAGGGCAGGCACCGCGAGGAATCAAACCCCGTATCTCTGATTTCCCAAACGTGCAGTGGTTAACATACCTGCGTTCTGCCGCACAAAGTAAAAAACAACAACGAAAAAACAAAAGCGCGCTACCAACATTCTTCCCGAAATGAGGTCAATGGCATCATAAGATTTGCCCCTAGCCATATATGTTAAGCAAATGGTATAAGTGTGCTCATGATATAAAAGGAGTTGATATGAGCTTGGTAGCTTCGCGTATCAGTAATGCCAGGTAACGTTTTTCAAAGACAGAAACGAGTAACTAGCGCGCATCCGTGAAAAACGAGCCCCAAATGTCTGTGCGCCCTGTCACTGCTGTGTCAGAAGCACGCATCTGTGAAGGTACGCGATTTTGTCAATGACAATCGTTATAGATTGACCAACTACGCGTTTTTGTCATTATAAAATGTTCGTTTGCCCAACCTGTTTGGGAATCTATACAAATATGTGCATTTTTACGACGGGTCTGCGCGGTCTATCTAAATAGCCTTTTAGAAGATTCTTTGAAAAGGAGGGTGCCTGTTGGCCAACTTAAGCTAGAACAGAAGGATCAAGGAACGGGAGGAACTAAAAGCGCATTTTTGCAGATTTTTAGTTCGGGAATTTTCGACTGGATGGGTCTCTGGAATTACAGACCACGCTAGGCGGTGCTTGGTGCGCGATCCCCGACCTCCAGGGCCTCACCCTCCAATCGCGCAATTGCAGACCATCGGCAGAAGTTCACAGCGAAAGCTCAACGAGCCGCAATGCTCGGCACGATCCGTCCTGCCCTTTGGCGCCGCATGAATTTGGTCGCAGGCGCTGCCATTCCAGTCAACGGCGAATGGCAAGCGCCCAAAGGGTCCGCACCCACGCCGCTGCGGGTAGATGAATCAGAAGACAGGCGCTCTCACAACTGGACCATCAGTTCGGTACGGACGAACGTTCCAAGTGGACCAGCTGGTTCTCGGCGACACTGTTCGCCCAATCGCTGAGACCCGCGCCAAGCTTTTTCAACATGCTAAATCCTGGATGGAGTGGCAGCACAGTGGCCTAATCTTAGGTAAAATGCATCAAAAATGCGAATAAAAAATTCCACATGCAAAACCGGATGACTCAGGCATCAGCACCTATTGCTCAGATTGGCGCCAACCCTTCACCATTCAACACAACATTTCTGAAAGACCCAACTGTAGCGACTCTTAAAACAGGTCAAAGTGAATCAATTTTCACGGTTTCATCTTTACTTACATAAGGCTTGGTCTTTGAGGCATATTGCTTCAATTGGCGAAAAACCCTCCCCACTTGATGCACCATATCTAATGCCCTCTCCCGGTTGCAAACATGGTGACCCCAGGTTAGGTCAAAAGCTGCCATTCTGACAAATGCCCATTTCTTGCTTGCAGACAACTCGGTTTTCATAACCAATTGCCCTGATTGAGATGAAACATTGACAATTACATGTGTCATGGTTGGGTCCCTCTGCAACTAAGAGTGATACTCTGATGTCAGGTCAGAAGCTGTAAGTTTTTACCTTGACCTCAGAATGACTTGACCTACAGGCCACAACTAAGCTACTCCACCAATGTGCATGAGTAATAGAGGTGAGTTGTTAACATATTGCTTTGGCTTTATTTTACCAACTGTGTAGGACAAAACATGTAACTGCACAAATACTTGTGTTTTTGCCAAGCTACAAGACCTTGCTACAACCCCTCTCATAACTGACAAAAAGTGTGTATGCCATCAGATGTGTTTTTATCCAGACACAGGCTTTTGACTTTGAACACTGTCAGTCTTCAATAAACTCTTCTTGTGACAAAAACAATCCTCCACTGTTAACACCACAGAATGTTTTGGTTATATATTGTTTTTACATTGTCAGATAGGAAATAATTTTGTCTTGCCATTGGTGTATGATTTCTGCTTCTTGCTGCTTATTTATGACCATGATACAAAAATATCACAAAAAATACTCTCCTGAACAATTACAAAATTGCTAGTTACACATCTTGTATTTCTGACATCACCATTAAATACCACACCAGTAGGCACCCCCCACACATGGCCTGATAGTTGGTAGCTGCTTAATTCACTTATCCGCATGATTGATGTGTTACCCCAGCTTTTTATGAACCAATGCATTTAATTTTGATAAGTGTACTCTGTACATAACTAATACCATCATCATTAACAGATCATAAGAGATGACCAACCAAAAAATCTGAAAATAAAGGATGTTTTAAGCAATGCTGCAGCTAAAGGGAAAAAGCTGCATGTAGAAATATGGATGGATGGATAATAACCTAAGAATTGCACAACTCGAGCTATATTCTGTTAACAACATGCATAAACATTGGTGCAGCGTGCAAATTACACCTTAAACTGCTGAGAATTCCTGACTCAATTTTATAAAATTAAGTCAAAGTTTTTTGAACAGATGAATTTCTTGGAGCAGAGCTACTGCTAAGTGGTGCTTGTTATGTGAGCCATGACTGATACCATGCTCTCCTGAAATTCCATTTTCATGGCAGAATTTGAGGTGAAAGTTTGGGCAACTTGTGACCTTAGTTTAAGCAAAAACATGCTGCAGTGCTTGGAAAAGGCTGTTCCTGCCCCATGATATCACCAGACATTTAGAGCAGTTACTGCTACCCACCAATAGACCATCCCAGTCTAGGGCAACATAGCCCTCATACCCATCCCACCATGGGTGGGTGGACAAGACAGGCACTCTAACCAGCTGGGCTATCATGATGGATACATTGTGTGCTATAAATTGAATCCGAATTGTGTATATAAACCTCAGACTTCCTATTCTTTAGTTGTCCACGCATTTAATGAACACTTAAGTACAGCATCAATGATAGCCAGAAGCCTTTGTCACTCACTGTGAATTTGCACAGGTTTAGAACTTGTGTTATTAAATCAAAGGACTCAATAGTTAATTTGGGACATTAAACTCTGATCATCAGGGAAACTCAGCAATTGGGTTACAAACTGTTGAAATAATAGGATTGCTGCTGTACCCCGGGGAGCCACGCACAACTCTACATGCTATGTAGCCCACCTCTGAGGAAGTGGCCCAATTTTACCACCAAACCACAGGTATTGCATGTATGACCAAATTATAGGCCACAGCAAGTTGAACATGCAACACAATTTGTGCTCAAAACTTCATTTTCTAAGAAGATTTAGTTTGAATATTTTGATCACCATGGACCTTTGGGGGCCAGACCCTCCCTAACACCAAGCAGTGGTTGTTGCATCTCCATGATACCACCCCTGATTGTAAAGTTCTGGGGTGAACAGCATAATTCCTATGGTGGAAGACTACTATGCAGCATTATTTGGTAGTTTAATCTACCCTCTGACATCATCAAACAGCTACAGCCATCTGCAGGCCATCCCAGATGGGAAATATTGTGATGATCTTAAGCCACATGAGCTTGCCCTGTCAAGAATGGGTGAAGACGAGTGAAGGAGCTCTAACCAAGCTATCAGGATATAGAGGTGCCCTGATTTCAGATGTGGACATAGTTATACTTAGCAAATAAAGTTTGGACCTTCTTAGCACCTTCAGTCTAAAGAGTTTCATCAATCCAAATCTTAACTAGAAGACAAAATTAAAAGGGAACAAAAATAGGTTGTGGGTAACTATGACAAAATTACTGTTCTATTTCACACTTTTGTGTGGAGTGCTTAAACACACAGGTGCATTAAAATCGGACATAGCCTGTATCCAAAGGCTGATCACATGCATGTAAACTGCATGATGATGAGTCACATTTGATTACAAGTGCTCTAAGGTGGTGCCCACTCACCACAAATATCAGGGCATAGAGCCAATACTTTCAAGGATTATGATAATGCTCAGGTATTTTAAAGCCCTTACCATTTGTTTGAAAAAATGTCAATAAAAAACAATTTAACCTTCGACTCAATTTTAGGATCAGTACACAAAATCATGTAAGCACGTGGTGGAACAGATAGATTAATCAGACTTGACCAGCTGTATGAAAATGCCTCATACTAGACTTCCAGAACCAGAAAATTTCACAATGCTTTTCCAGCTTGTACACAATTTCAAAGTGAGAACACAACATGTGCTAGCATGGTACAGCATTAAATAGCCATTTATACCACCTGTATACCTTTTTGTATTTGCATTTACATAATGAGACCTGAGCTGTTCCTCATGCCTTGCAGATAATACCACACAAATAAACGAAATATTTTACTCATGGCTGTGTACCATGGTAAATGTGTCGCCCATTCTGGTAATACAAATCATTTGACACAAATTAATTTTTAACTAAGTTTCAGCACCATAGATGACTAAAATTCTCCTGCCAAAATTGAAAATTAACAATATGTTCAATACCAGGACAATATTTTGGTATCATCTTTCTCAAGAGCTTTTTAGCTGTTGTGCTTTAATACTAACATCTATGACATATGTCACCATCTAAGAGCATTCACAAAACATATTTCACCAATCCTTATGAGAAGCATAGATTCTTTAAACACTCCCCAAAGTATGCATAGTCCTGCATTTCTAGATCGGCAATGTCGGCACCGGAAGGTACCGACCCCCGGCCCATGAGTTCCATACGGATTTCTCTCACCGCACCCTCACCTTCATTGTCTATGTCATCTTCAAAATCCTCCGGGTCACTGAAGTCGGGCTCCTCAATGTAGTTATCCCTAAATTCACTATCATTTCCTATGGACTCAGAATTCTTTCTCCGCGCCATTCTTAAAATCCTTTAGAAGCCACCGGTCCATAAGGCACAAATTCTGACACTTGTGCCGGCTGTCCAGCCAAGCAAGAGAGGGAGCACAACCACGCTGGAAGGTGAACTATACAATTACGGCGCGCAGGAGAAGTTTGGAGTAATTGAAAATGAGTCAACTGAGTATCCCAAACATCATTCATAAAAAGAACAAGACTTTGAAATATATTCAAAAAAATATGTGACATTCAAGACAAGATTCTCTTTTTAAGCGAAAGAAAACGCTTTCATAGCTTTTAAATCGTGGACTCAGATAATTAACAAAACCATAGTCATCATAAGCAAAGGCAGTAGATATCTTATACTAAATGGATTTAAGGCTTCCTTACAGTCTAAAACCTTACGGTGAGTGACAAGTGAAAATATGGGCAAGGCAGTTAAATTATTACTACGGCATTGTCGCCAATTGCGGACCAAGATCGGATCATCTCAATTCGTCCTCCTTCTCCCCGAAAAATGTTCTAAAACAAGCTCTCCTCGGTTTATTGTCCTTAAGCCCGCGAAATGTGTCATGTTCTGTCCATTCTGGACCACCTTGGGGCCCATGGCCCAGTTCCACCCCACTTAGATCCGCCCTTATTCACCGCTGTTTCTGCCTCACGGACAGAGAGCAGACAAATCCCCTGCGCGGATAGAATGTCGATGTCCAGTTGTGTTTTCGGAATATCACGCTTGAAAAAGATCGCCTAAGCTTGTGGAACGGGAGGGCAATTCGGCTCCACTATACCGTGTAAATATGCTGAATCACTCGAAAATTTCGCTCGTTGCTGTGTAACCAAACCAATATCCAAACATTTTGTTTTTTGTTAACTGCTTGAATCCCGCCTCAGTGTGCGCACGTTAACACCAACCTTACAATTGCTCCCAAGCGCATTCACTGGAAAGAAGTGGAAAGACAAAATTACTGTCATCCCCACCAATGAAACAGGAGACTTCCGCCGCCCCTTCTCCCACGTCTCCGTCCGAGCTTTCCCGCTGCAACTGCTGGCGTAAATTCGTCTCGCTTCCTAAAAATAAAGGCTTACTTCACTGCGCCTGTTCGTGAGTTCACGTGCCCCAGTCGGTGTCCCCATTTTGCGATCCGCGTGACGCACAGTCCCTCGCCTCACCTCTCCACACGGCGTGCTTTGAACACTGCTATTGCCACCGTATACACCACTGTACAAGGAGAGACAGACTGAAGGCATATAAAACTCTACCGCAGGATGTCCTGCCCGGGGCCCAGCGTTGTGAGACGACGCGCGTCGCCGCAGCCGGTGGAGATACCGCGGAACCGGTAGGTGCAGGCGTTCTCTTGCTATGAAGTGCGACAGCGCAGCGGACGTGAAGTCATAACCCCTGGATCATTGGTTGTCACTATGCGTTGCACCCGCACCCTAGCTCAAACTTCCACCGTGGTCCACATGACAAGGCGAATTCTAAACGAGCGGACATCACACATGTAATTTTGCTGACAACGGCTTTTACACGAGCGAAACCAAAACGCGTGCAAAACGCAGCGCCGCATCGGATGAAAACAGCATGTAAAAGGCGGTACAATAGATGTAGGAATAATTAGCCGAATCAGACAGGACTTTCAGATATCATATCATATCATAGCGGTCTAACACGTCCGCACCGTATCCTGTGCAAATACAGCAAAAAAGAGGTGCGTTTTAAAAGATAGGCGGCTAAAGCCAATCGAAGACTCCCGTGGTTCGGCGATTCGGTTCGACCCTTTCGGCGGCTTAAACAGCCATTGGCTGTCAACACTTTTCGGCGGCAGTTCGATTTCGTGCGGATCCGCCCCGCAGATCACGACCAATCAGAACCACGCAGGACCTGACGCCACTGGATTCCACCCAATCACGAAGTTATCACGCATGACGTCATCCTGATTCCGCCAATCGCGAGCCATCTGGCGGGATCACCGACCCGACCGGCCCAACCCAGGTCAAGTCGTGCTTGACGTCACCGCACCGCCGAACCAATCGCAAAACCGGACGGCGACAACCACCTCAGCCAACCAACAGCCGCCGGCCGTGTCACGAAACCGCCGCCGTTCGACCCATCGCCGCCGGCCTAGACGTCTCCGGGCATCTTCCAGCAGAGGATGGCGCCGTCCGTGCCGACCGAGACGACCGTCTTCATGTCGGGCGAGATCTTCAGCGACGAGATGGCCGTGCTATGACCGACGCCGGTGAACACGCAGTCGCCCTCGCTGTACCGGTACACCTGGCGGAGACGGCCGTGGATGACGTCAGCATGGTGTCAGCGCCACCATCAATGTCACGCTGTCGCTATGGCGCCGCTGTCACCAGGCCGGACCAGGCCGCGACCCAGTAACCGGCACAGCGTAAACTATACATTTATCATGAACGCAATGTCCCACCGACACAGCGTGGAAGCAACGACGAATACGGCACGCGCCGCTGTTCTCGTGGGCCCATCGGCTACAGACCGTGAGAAATGCCGACAACTGGCAACCCGACTGCCATGCGAGCGCATGCTCGAACAGCGCACCAGCGTCGGCCTTGCGGCGCGAGAGCCAGCCTTCCGCCCCGTCGCCAGCGCACGCCTGCCCGGCAGACACCGTCGGCCGCCTGTTGGCCCCGCCGGTACGCCCGCCCACCTTGAGGAGCTTGTCGTCGCCTCCGGTGGACGATGAAGCAGGGCCGGTCGGGCGTGATGTCGACAGCGTTGAGGGCCTGCCGTCTCTGCGCCGCCTCCAGCTCGCGGATCAGCGAGCCGTCGAAGATCTGGCCGAGCGGGCGCGCGCGGCGGCCGTCACGGACACGCCGGCGGCTGGTGGCAGCAACCGAAGCGCGACGGGCCGGCACGGGCTGACACCAACGCGCCGCGCGGCGGCCGGCTCACTAGACACAGCGTCCCGGACAAACTAGTGGCGTACAGTTTCGCAGCTGCGTCTGTTGCAGTGGTCCTCACGCCGGCGACGGCCAAGGGCGGTTATGACCAGTGTCACCACATCAACGGCACGCGAGCTGCGTAAGCCGCGACCGACGAATCATGATAGCCCTGTCGCGATCTTCGGCGGCTTCTTCACCAACACATCGGTCTGTGCCGATGCCGCCACGGCATGCCCCCCCCCCCCCCCGCCCTCCCGCTCCCGCCCGACCCCCAATCACATGCCACGAGCCGTGGAGGGGCGCGCGCCGTACCTCCCAGTAGGCGAGCTTGCGGTCGGTGCCAGCAGGTGATGAGTCTGCGCCTCCGATGGATGGTAGCACACGCCCATGAACAGCGTGTTGGCGAACAGGACCGTCTTGCGCGTGAACGCCTGCGGCAGCGCGGCGCCGGACACACCGGCGTCAGGCCATCAGAGTGCAATCTGGGTGCAATCGGGGCGCAATCAGTACAATCAGGAGGTGCTAATCAAGTGCAATCAGTTGCAAACAGCGCCGGCGCCAAAGGCAGGGCATGTGGCAGAGACGGCATCGCGGCTGGTCAATACACTCCCCGTGGCCAATTTTGATGATGGTCTGGAATGAGGCTAAATGAGGCGTCCGCGGTCGTGTGACCTCTGGACACTAGCGTCCATGTCTGTCATACCTGACCCCATGTCCGGATGCCAGGATGTCGTGCCGTGACCCACGAGGGCCTGTTTCCCGAGCTGCCGCGTCCGCGTCCGGTGACAGTGGTCACGCGACATCCCCCGAGTCGGTGTCCGCCGCCTGACATTCCCAGGGCTCCACGACCCGATCCTATCGATCCGATTCGATCCGATCCGATCCGATCTGACCCGATCCGAACCCGACCCGATCCGGTCCGACCCTACCCGACCGACCCGACCCGACCCGACCCGACCCGACCCGACCCCGATCCGATCCGATCCGATCCGATCCGATCCGATCCGATCCGATCCGATCCGATCCGACCCGACCCGACCCGAACCGACCCGACCCGACCCGACCCGACCCGATCCGATCTGATCCGACCGATCCGACCCGATCCGATCCGATCCGACCGACCCGACCCGACCCGACCCGACCCGACCCGACCCGATCCGATCCGATCCGATCCGATCCGATCCGATCCGATCCGATCCGACCTGATCCGACCCGACCCGACCCGACCCGACCCGACCCGACCCGACCCGACCCGACCCGACCCGATCCGATCCGATCCGATCCGATCCGATCCGATCCGATCCGATCCGACCGGACTTGACGCGACCCGACCCGACCCGACCCGACCTGCCATGGTCCGGCCCGACCCTACCTGACTCGGCCTGACCCGGTTTCGCTCCCACCTGCCGTCCTCAGGGCATCGTGGCCTGGCGCCTTCCAACCTGACCTGACCCGACCTAACCCGATCTGACCTGAGCCGGCGGCCGCACCCACCTGACATCCCAGATGATGCAGGAGCCGTCGGTGCTGGCGCTGACACACTCGGAGTCGTCGCCGGTGAGCGCAGGCAGGTGACCGAGCCACGGTGCTCCTTCAGCGCCGCCCGCAGCGTCTGCGTCTGACAGCCGATCTCCCAGGCGCGGACCTGGCCGGCGGCGGCGGTGGCGGCTCACGCACGGGGCCGGGGCACGACACAACGAACGGCATGCGGCGACCGCAGGTTGTGGGCCGCAGGTAATGTGGCGTGCATGTTTGATGGTTCATGTACGCAGGTGCAATTGCTGACCTTGTCCGTTCAGAAGGTCATGATTTGAGTAGTGTTTAGTGCTGTCGCGGGATAAACACGACCATAACGCGCAGGTCGCTGCTCGGAAAGCACTTGGGAGGGGTCGTCAAGACATGTTGTGTCGCAAGAGCTCTCAGAGAAACCGGAGAGTCCGGCGTGAAATCCGAAAAAAAAAAACACGGCGAGAACCTGGCGTGTGACGGGCAAATCACGCTTGCCAGATGCTTAGCGACTGAGTGTGTTTGAAAGGTGTGAAAGGCGTTTAACTAGGTGTTGTTTGTAGCGGCAGCACAAAATGCTAAGCAAAACATTGTTTACAGCAGCACTCGTTTACGTCACTCAACAGCACGAGGAAGACACCTCGATTCTAACTGAGTCGGCCACCCGGGTCGGATAAGCCCATGGGTACTCACACGGA